TTTTTTTTTTTTGAAAATATATTTTCATTTCGATAGCACAAATCAATATTGGACTCAAATATTTCACATTGAACACATTTTTATGTGAAAATCTCATGTGAGTGATAATTCAGTTTACATTTTTAAACCAAGTACAATTATATTAGCTTTCTAAATATTTTATGGGGTACTTAAGAAAATGTTGTACATAAATAGTATTTAAAATTATAATTGTTACTATGACAATGGATTTTTAATCCAAAGTCAGTAGAATATTGAAACAAATATTTTTCTTTTCTGTTCCTCTGCTCAAAGGCAACTTGAACAAGGTAGCAAAATTTAAAAAATGATGGGTCTGTCCTTGTGCATATAGGGAGTGAAATGTGTGTATTGGTGCAGTACCTTTACCAGATATGCAAGAGACAAAAAGAAAAAAAAATGTACGTATTAACTGGGCCAGATCAATGCATCAAATTTATGTTTCCTTTCCAGTATATTATAAATGAGCTAAATTAACTTCTTGTACAGGATGAGTGGTCTTTTATTTGTATTTACTTTATATGTTTTATCTCTTTTGCTTATCTCCTAATAGGCCAGCTTAACCCGTGGAATATAAGCTACTAAACATTTTGTAACTTTGTTGTGAAAGAAAGACTATGGGTGTATTTCCAGAGATTAAGATTGATCCAGGGATTAAAATTTAGATCGACCTAACTCCCTGGGGGTTCACGCTAAATTGCAGTCAGACGAGCGCACCATAGTTAATTACCCCTTTACAGCTTTTAGTAGGCGGGACAGACGCTTAAGCTGGCTAAGCTGACAGTAATCTAGTGAGACTCCCCACAGGGATAGATCAATCTAAAAATCTATGGAAATGAGGTGTAAGTGTAGGATGGAGGTTCTGCAAGTGGCCAAACTGACCTCACTGTTCAAGGCTGAAGTTGAAAAACATTCAGGTGGTAATACATCTGGTTTTAGGTGAGACACTGACTGGTGATTTTTTAATTAAAAAAACTGATCACTGATTGAGGATTTTTTTTAGGAAAAGGTAATAAAAGTATAGTTGTTCAGTTTAGTTAAGATTTCATTACACATTTGATTGTTTCACAATAATCACTCAAAGAGTGAAGTCTGGATTTTGAGTCATTATTACTGATGTTGTTGTACATCATCTTATTACTTCTGTTTTTTATTATTCAAGAATTATAAACTCAAAAGATGGCTGATGAGAGATATTCCACTGACAGCTCGTTTTTCATAAAAGTCAGAGAAGTGCAAGTGAGATTGTGTTTGTGAAGGAGCTACAGGCAACAGACCTTCTGCAGCCCCTGCTAATTAGTTCTACATCAGAGACAGAAACTGAGGAGGAAGCTATGACACTCTCTAGGAGAAGAAAAGCAGAAATGAATGATGGAAAACTGGTGTGATATACTTGAAAGACACTCCAGACACGACACCAAGGCCTCCCTCTTCCAGTGAATTTACCAATGCAGCAGCCAAAGAAGTTGTTCGAAATGAGCTATATCTTCTTCATTCTTTGGCCAGTTCCGCTTCTGAAGAGCCAACACTAGATAATCTCTCTTTGCCAGAAGAAATTAAACTCACACCAAGCTGCTGTCAATCTGTCGAGATATTGTACAAAATTTAAAGGGAGGAAAAATACCAAGAAGTAACTCTATCTCTGACAACAAGACACTTGACTGGGTCATCCCAACTGCTCACATCATTAAAAAAATAGCAGCATCATATACTTGACCATTGTAGGTCTAGAGATCAGTATTGTCTGACTCCAGGTGCTATCCTCCAATGATATACCAGCAGGTTTCATCAGAGGATTTCCCTCAATTCTATTACAATTCTGGGACAATATTGACTTTAAGGAAGATACTCTCACTGGGGCTGGAACTACCCACAATTCTAATAGCATGATTCAAAGAGAGTAGCTAAATGTGTCACTGCCAAGCCAAGAGAGACAGTCATTGACCAAAAAGAAAGTCTTTGCGATTACAAGAGACAGTCCTGAATTTAACATACTTATAAAAATCAACATCAACATGTTTGATGAATAGAATAAGGCATTTTATTGCTGTGACTTTTTACAATGAGATTTTAGAATAATAATAATAATGATTTATTGAGCATTAAAATGTGTACAATTACATTTTACAAGCTCTCTAAACTACAGTTTTACATAAATTGGCACATAAGCTTAAAGCAATAATAACTCTTCCTTTGAGATTCAAAATTCTGCAAGAAATTCATTGTAAACAACGCATGGAAATAAATTCTGTCGCATTTTACCACTAAAACGGCTGTTATTGTAGTAAAACTAAAGTCTGTGCTTGTCAATAGGGCTTTCGATGCCTTTCTTCCCGGTTGTAAAGGCATCCCTTGCCAATGATGTTGGGATGTCACGCGGATTCTCGCGTTCATTCGAGACCAAAATAACTTCTGGCGCGAAAAACCTGATGCTATACACAGACGTAAGTTGCGAGTTTTTGTACAGTGCGTTGGATAACGAAAAGCCCAGAATAGCACACATTGTAGATATAAATGCATTTTGAGCAATAAGATGAATATATCTTAAGAATCTTACATTATTGTCATGTAGTGTTGTTGTTGTCTGCTTTTCCCGCGGTTTTAAGTAGGTCACCAGAAACTATCACTCGATATCGCGTGACTATGCAATGTCAGAGTGGGCTCCGTCAGTTAAAATCTCTTAAAAGATTTAAAAAAAAAACCAAACGTTTAGGAAAAAAAACCTGGACTAACTTTGAATGCAGGAATGGGGTTGCTGACCATTGGTAAGTATGGGAAAATTGCCGTTTACTCCAGGAAAATCCAATTTTTGGCCAAAATGAAGAGTTATTATGACTTTAACCATAACTACTTTAGATCATTATAATAACAAAATACAAAAAGCTAACTACTTCAGACACATAGCTTACAACAATAACACACAATCTTATAGTACTGGATATAGTATTATGTACAACATGCATTTGCATTTAAATATGAATGGAACTCTCAGTACTTGTAATATATTCTTTTCTGTATATGAACATGTAACATAAAGATAAACTCCCGAGTACACGTTTGTCCTAATTAAATCTTTTATGTGGTTTACTTATTAATCTAGAATGAATTTAGGATGAAAATATTAGAGTAAAGCTTCAGTATATATAGAATTATTGCCCCATTGTTTTGGTCCCTTTACCATATTTTTATTTTATAAGAAATATCTTTTTCGACAAAGCGTTTGTTTTAATTTATTCTATATATTAAATGATTTATAAGCATATGCTCCTAAAAGAATAATTTTCAATAGAACGTTCACTGTCATCCCATCGGTGATTGTTATGCCATGAGCGTTGGACTTACTATCATAGTAAACCGTGAGGCTTGTGGCCCAGATTGTGCATTGGGTGAAATTAGGTCACAGTTTGATTCATGCATATATAAGCAAATTACATCCAATATTGCGTCCTATGATTGGACAAAGTGTCCTAGACAACACCATGTTTTTACTTAGTGCAGGCGTTCGAAACTGAATGTTTTCTTGTGCAGCTTTCTGAATCGACCTTCTATCTGCATGATGTGGGAGTTAAAGATGCATACAAAGTCCATTTTTGTCACAAAAACCGACCAAATGCCAGCATATAATTTCAAGTAGTATAACTAAGAGAATTACCAAAAGGCATTGTTTAATTTTACCAGAAAATGATGTTTGAATGGATTTTTCTGCTAGCATTTTATGCTGTATGTCAATTGGGCAGAAAAGTAGGCCACAAAAGAAGGTTAAAGTTCTGACAGAAAATTTAAAGAAAGGAGCAGTATAAAGCTTTTTTATGGCTGATGGAGTGATCTATTCAGTTTATCCCTTGGCATGTCGAACTTATTTGAGACGTATATCAAACTAATAGAAGTGGTTTACATGTGTTACTGGGAATCCATGCTCCACCGATGCTTGTTTCGTATGTTCCAACATCTCTCAGGTTTCAGATTATGGACTACAATCATGTCCTAAGGAATGGAAAACAACCCAGATTACCTAAAACTAGGCTGTCTGCACTGCACAATATCATTTCAGAATTTTAAAAGGGGCAAGAATCACCAAGATGAGGTAAATTGTCCAACAATGACAGTGAAACTCTTTGTGCTGAGAATGTCCTCTTAAAAAGGAATACACCGACGAGACTCAAAACAGTGACTATATACTTTTGTGTAGCACACCACAATTTGACCAAAATATTATTGTGGATAAATTATGTCAGCTCTTAATCTTGCTTGATTTTACACCTTTCCAATTACAGGGTTTCTTTACAATTTTGCGAACAACTGCAGGGTGCTTAAAGAACCAAACTGTTGCATGTTTTATCGACAACACTTTTACTCACACATTCACTTTCAATTGTATTTTGACCATTGTGATGTGTCTGCATAAATATTCAATGAATTGTTTCAGTAAAAAAATATATTTTGTTATTATCAATTCACATTTCCAGCCAATGTAATAAACATACAAAAATTAAGATTATGATTACATGGGCCCATGATTATCTCAATATGCACCCTCTCATATAATAATGACTATATACATGGAAATCGCATTTGCTTTTGTGACTCAGCAGTAAAACTCAGAAGAAAGATCCCTTCAATTTGTTGTTACTAACTCATAGTAACAAATAAAGTATGTCACTGATGGACAGATTAAGCAAGTAACTTTTACTATTTTCTGTTAACTAAAATTTCCATTATAAAGCTATTCTGAAAATCAATTTTTTTGTATATTTTGAAAGGACCACACTTGTACACAAAACAATATTTTGTTAAACAATGTCATACTTGATTGTTGACGCAAATGTTTTGAAAACCAAACTGGCTACATGTCAAGAAGCACCTTTTCTTGAGTGACTAGATCTACCTAAACAAAATACTGAAACTAGTTAGTCCGATAAAACAATAACAGCTTCATCTGAATTTGGTTCAGTTCTATTCTGCCTGGGCCCCTGCTGACTGGATGGAGTGCCCTGCCCTACCACTCTCTTCCCAATACCACACCAAGTTCTGGTGCCTGCTCCAGATGACTCAGATCGAGAGGCAACAGTTGTTACCACTGAGAAAGCCTTAGGACCACAGTGTTTGATCATTTTTTTGAGTGCTGTGCTTACAGCATCGGCCACTTCTTTTCCTGCATTATCTATGTTATCTACACAGACTTCCATTTTTTGTCTCCCACCATCTGCTGCAGCTGTTGGAGATTGCTCCAGGAGTCTGCCAATACCTACAGTTGACAGAGTGTCCATAACAGTCTTTTTTATCGCCTCCTCTTTGATATAATTTGTGGTACCTGAAGCCAGCTTAATTTTCACCTTGCGTTTATTTTTCTCTTTATCTACTACAACAAACTCTATGATTCTTTGATCAGTTTCTGTGGAAACTGATGAAACCCCTGCCTTACACTGGCTCTGAGATAATGCAACGGTATCTGTGGATGTATCTCTGGTATGCTGAGGTTTGGTTTGGCACTGAGGTACTGCTACTCTTGTTGAATTATCAACCAGAGTCGTGTTCCTGACACGTTCAGGTACAATGGAAGCCTGTGGAGACTGGCTTGCTGCAGCCTGAAATGCTGGTGTTATTGGTCTTGGAGCATTAATGTTTTTCTCTGTGTGTTTCTCAGACAGTAACCCTTTGGCTATACTTGGATACTGGTTTTTAGACACCCTTAAGTCCATCAATCTCTGAGATTCATCTGTACTATCATTGTCATTCGTTGTTGATTTTGCTACCCAAATCACCTTTTCATCAACATAGCATGGTTTGACTTCTACATTTGTTAGCAGGGATTTGTAAGAGGCAATCCTCAAAGGACTGCCACCATCTTTGCCTACTTGGTCACTTAACTCCTTCTTTCTGTTGTGCTCTGACACAGATGATGTTGCCAAAGCAGAGGCCAAATTTCCTGCCCTTACTGTAGTAAGCGTTGGTCTAGGGGGTAATACTACTGCAGATAAATTCTTCCTTTGCAAAATATCTGATGATGGAGGAGTTGGTATAATTGGAGACTTTGGGGGAACGGTGGACGCAGTGAGTTGTCCAGTGTTGTGCAGATGACCAGATGTTCTGCCCAGTACATGAGTGGGTGGCGGAGGTGCACCGAATGTCTGTAATGGTACATAGGATGTCGAAGGAGTAGCTTGGGGCCTTAACCCCTGGGGTGGTATAAAAAGACCTTGTGCTGGCAGCCCTGGCCTAATGACATTTGCGCGGACTCCTACTGGTGTTTTGCTTATCTGACTCACCATAGTGCTGTTCACTGATGCTTTGGAATAAGAGCATGTAGCAGGCATTATTGGATTAGATGATGGCCTTTGGAGAAGAAGGTAGGTTAATGCAGGATTAGCCAGTCCTGGACCCAAGTTCTGTCCTTGACCTTGTGGGGCAGGAAGGATTTGAATATTGGCATTAGAGGGTGGAGGGGTCTTCCAATTTTGTCTAGATCCTACAGTACTGCCTTGTTGAGAACATATCTGTGGATTACTGTTAACCAGTACTGTTGATGGTGGTTGCACTCTAGGGGAGTTCAAAAGCACAATATTGGTAACACCTTTGTTGGTACAAGTTGGAGCTTCTAAAAGATTTGTTTTTCTATTCTGGACTACAATACCTGAAGTGGAGGCCATCTCAGGGGGTGTGCTTGATGGTATGGTTGTGTGGCCAATTACACTACCTGATGTCAATGTCATGGTACTGGTAACATTCCTATACAAAGACACAGGTGTCACTGAATGGGGTCCTTTTGAATGCTTTGATGCATCTACAGAAGTTACTACAATCTGATTAGAACTACTTGAACTCTGAACAGATGGAATTCTTTCCATGCTAGGCTGAAGGCTACCAACAAGGCCACTCGGTTTTGAAATAGTTGAAGGCTGACTAGTGACTTGAGAAGATCCTGTTTTTGGTACAGCTGAAACATTTCCGAGAAGTTTAGCTTCGGTATCTATACTTCCACTTATAGCAGGAGTGCCCTGAAAGCTGCTGGGTGTTGCTGCCTTGGTGGGTTTCTCTTGTAGATCCTTATTGTTTGGCTCTTGTCTTTCAGTACATGGATAATCTTTTTCTACAAAACCTTTATCATTTCCACTTCTGTCTTTTTGATTATTGATTGATGCATGATCAGCATTTGAACTGTTGGCATCTGTGTCACTAATCTTGGCATCTATCGGAACAACTACCATCTGCTTTTTGTCTTTAATTCTATTTCCTATCACTTTGCCAACTTTCAACTTAAATGCCTTTGGAATATTTAGGTGGATTGTCTTTGGCTTTGCCTCAGCTGGCTTGGGAATGGAAGTCACTGTGCCTTGTGGTTTAGAAGGGGTGCTCTCCCCATCATGCTTTATTTGTTGAGACTGGATGTTAGCCCCAGCTGGTGCTGGTTTGGGGCTCTCACATGCCACTGAAGCAATGTTCTCCTGAGGTAGGCTATCCGTATCAGTCACAGTGGGAAGAGGGTTGGTCTGCTCATTGTTTTCCCTGACAATGTTGCTCAGGCCACATTTTCCAATATTAGCACCTGCATCACTTTGATCATCACTTATTTTACTCTCTTTTCTTGCACTGTCCACCTCAGGAACAACAAGTTCAACAATGCACTCATCTGGGTCAAAAGCTTTAGTTTCAATCTTATCCATGCACTGGTCTGTTTGACCTGACTTGCTTTGAGCACAGTCTTTATTGGAAGCCACTTCTGATGTTTGCTCTTTGGGGAAATTCTCAATACCAGAATGGTTTTGATCAGTATAATTATAATCATTCTTTGAGACCTCCTCTTTTGGTTTATCTAAACAACCAAAGTTAACACTGTCACTTATGTCAAGGTCAGGGGTGGTGGAAGAGCAATGGTTGGAATCCTCTTGGAAAACATACTCCTGAAAACAAGTGTCTGCCTTATCACTGTCAGATGCCACTGCAACCCCCTCTTTGCATTCAGCATCCATGTGTATGTCTTCTCCATTTAAGTTGTATAGTACGATTTCTTGACTGTCTGCACCATCTTCAGTGTTTTCCTCTATGTCCAGGCTGCTGGTGAGGTGGGAATTCTTAGAGTCCGGTGTATGGTCTGGTGCCAGTAACAGTGAAGAGGAGTTGGACAAGTCATCAACCCATAGGCCATACTCCTTTTTACTCTCATCACAAATGGAATCACTCTTTAATTTGGCAATTGTTTGAATACTGCTCTCATTTGTATTGTCTGGTTTGGTCATTTGCTGATTGCTGCCTTCTTGGTTGGAATCTAATTCACATGCTGTTGTACTGCTGCCTTTTGAAATGCTATCTACATTGGTCAATATACTTGAACTGGGCTTCGGACGACTCTCTTCCCCATCATGTTTATGTTGTAAAGAAATGCCCTCACTTTGATTTGTTTGAAGGTAACTCTGCTGTTCTTTGGAAGACTGACTACACCTGTCATTGGGGTCCATTGTGTATTCCCCTTCATTATCTTGAAGAAGTGTTTCTTCATTCATATCCCTTCTTTTCTCCTCTTGATCAGAATGATAGGAAGCATTTTTAGAATCCATTTCTTTCTCAGTAAGATCCATCAAATTTTCCATCTTGGTCAATAATGACTGACTGCCGTCAATGCTATCCTCCTCGGAGTAGTCATTATTAATCTCTTTGAAATTGGCATCAACAGGTTTCTTTATAACAAATTCACTTGCCACAGTGCTTTCATTATCAACTAAATGCACTTCCTCCAAACTGTTGCCACAAATTTTCTGCTCCTTTTTCTGCCCATCCTCATCTTTCTGGACTGCCGAACCTGCAGGGCTGGAACACATCTCTGAGACATTTCTTAAAGGACTGGCCTCTAATGTTGCTGATGAACTACTGGAAGGTGATTTTTCTGTGAGAAACGTTTCATTCACATCAGAAGTTTCAGCAAAAATGTCTTCTAAAGAATGAGGTGCTGATTTATTAGGCTCAGCACTGCTGTCTTTACTGTCAGCTGGAGCTGAAGAAAATTGGTTTGTTATGACAGTATAATCATTACTGGAAGGTGATTTTTCTGTGAGTAACGTTTCATTAATATCAGGAGATTCAGCAAAAATGTCTTCTAAAGAATGAGGTGCTGAATTATTAGGCTCAGCACTGCTGTCTTCACTGTTGGCCGAAGCTGAAGAAAATTGGTTTGTTATGACAGAATAATCATTACTTGTGTCCAAGTCAGTGGTGCAAATAAAATATTTTTCCTCTAAGATGCTTCTTTGTGAGTCTGTTTTGCCCCTGGTGTCAGAGACATTCCCTGCCACTTCCTTCATTGCATATGGTTTTTCACAAACTTTCCCTGTGTTGCCAGCACAATCCAAATCCACACTGCCTAATGTGGAATTCTGGGAGTCACTGTAGCTCTGATAGTCAATGTTATTTTCCTCATTTGTTGACAGTTGCCTAGTAGGTGGTGTATAATAGCTTTCAAGAGACAGTGATGAAAATGGCTCCTCAGTGTTAGCATTATCTTCACTTAACTGCTCTGTGGGGGATACAAAACTGCCAGAAAAAATAGAATCTGAATTCAAAGCTTCATCACTGGGAATGCATTTTTCTGTCCCAAGGTTTCTGTCAACTGGGGAGTTATGAGTTTCTGACTGGGAGTTTGATTTTTCGCGTAGGGTAACATGCTGTTGTTGGAGGTTAGAACTTTCCTGTGGAATTTCAAGGTGTGAGGAAGCAATAATTCTCTCCTGATGCACCATCAGCTGTGAGGTTGCTTTGTTTGGTACATGACCTGGGCAATGCACAACCACATTTTGTGCAAAATCAGTATTTGTGCTTTGAACATCATTGGTTTTGCTGCATAAACGGTTGGCACTTGAAGGTAATGGGCTGTATGTTCTAACAGCTGTCACGAAGGGCACAACATGAACAGGGTTGACATCTTCTGGCCTCTTTCTTGTGCATATCCTGCTGACTTCCTCGCTGTCAGAATCAATAGCACCATCTTGTGCTAATTTCACACCTGAAATGGAACAGGAACAATACTTTTATGGAACCAAGAAATGAATCGTTAGGTGGGATATTAAAAAAAAAAAAAAAATATGTATATATATATATATATATATATATATATATATATATATAATTAATTGTGGCAAAAGTTTGGAGCAAGTGCATTTAGTTGATATATATATATATATATATATATATATATAAATAAATAAATAAATAAATAAATGGACACCACTCACAGTTAATCATTGATGCATTCAATTCAATTCAATACACGTGAACACCTAAAAGCACGTCCAGACCATTTTAAATTGAATTTTGAAACTAAATAATGAAAATATGGTTTGAATTAAAAAATGTGCTGTCTGTAAAACCCTATAGGAGCCAAAAGAAAGCAAAAACAATATCAAAGTTTCAAATGTTTGAAATTTGGTCTCGTTGAGGAAATGGTGATCATGGACTATTCTAGTTGAAAACATTCAAGGGATTTCTTTACTGTGATCCAGAAACCGCACCAAAATACAGTGTGATGAAAAAAAATCTAACCCTTAACAATTCAAACAGAATATGACAAAACCAACTAGAGCAACACAGGTATAAGCAAGCAAAAGTTCATCAACCTTGACTTATTCTTTTCAAGGCACATTGCTGCAAAGAAGTGAAATGTACAGTACTGACTAACTTCCTGAACAACAGACAGGCAGACAGACAAGCTAGAGAAATACAATGAGAACTACTATCAAAAGCTGAAGAATAAGAAAGTAAGAAATAATGCAAAAGCTTTAAAATGTTTTGTAACCTGCCTAGAATTTACCTAGCTCCTCTTCGGACTCCTCTTCCTCTATGTCTTTATCTTCAACAACACTGTCAACATCATTTCCACTGTCTCTATGAGATTCAGGACTTATTTCTTCTACATCACTGTCATCGTCATCATTTTTATCAGTATCTTTTCCTGTGCCTGTATCACTATCTTCTGCTTCTTCTACACCCAAGGCATTGTCACCTTCGATATCGGTGCCTTTCTCTTCTTCTTCTTCTGCATTGGAATCCTTCTCGTCATCCCCCTCAGATGGAACCTCTTCCGGGTCTTCTTGAAGGTCGTACTGCTTTCTGGCAAACTTGTTGATTACCTACATTGATAGATATAAAACAGGTAAATCAAGAGTGAACAAAAGTAAACAATGTCTTTTTTAGATTGAACTGAGCAGCAATCTTGGTTTCTACAGACCATGGGGTGAAAAGGTTATACTTGTTTTTTCAAATCATGTATCCCATTTCTTTTCAAATTTTTATGAATCCCACTCTGCATGTACCTCCTCCAGTTTAGATTTAGAAACTTTTCTGTTTTCTTCCAGCCTCCTCCTAAGGTCACGGTCATACAGAGCTGGGTCTTCATGTTCCCTAGAATTAATTTTAAACAAATCATAAATGATAAAATCATGAATCAGCCTGCGCAAAAATACTTCCGAACTTTTTTGTCTACTGGCTCTTGAAATTACAGAAAATATCAATAATGGTAATACAAGGATTGCCTACTGCAACTTAACTACACAGCAAAATTCCTAAAACTACTGCCTTCCTTGTTAACCTGAAGAAAAACCTGAACTTACTTGTAATTCTCTGTTAAATGGCAACCAAAATTAGAAGTGAAATCTTTTATTCTCCTCTCCTGAAGCAGATTTCCAACATCTGTGAAGATTTCTTTTGCCAGGTCCAATAAAGCTTTTTGACTACAATGACAGGTACGCACAAAATGTAAAGATTGTGCAAATAGACATGGGCTATTATATCTATTTGTAAAATCATTACAAAATGTTAAGATTGTACAAAAAGATATAATAGCCTGTGTCTTCATATTTTCATGAAAGGACTGACAAAAAGATTGTATATATTCATGGGTAAATGTTCACTTATCTTATCTTATAGGCGCCTAGTTTGTGGGAATTAGCTACACTTAAACATTATTTTTAAACTGACCATTAAGCCCAATAAAGACCAAATGATAGGTGTCCTCAAATAAAAAGTCAAATCATGCACATCTTACCCCAATCTCAAATGATGCTTGACATTGGTCTTCTGAATGATTTTCTTTACATCGTAGTAGTCAGGAAAGATGTGCTTCTTATTGATAAACCTTTCAATTGCTTTGTTTAACTCAGCATATCTACTACCTATCAAAATATGGTGAGAATTACACAAAAATCAAATATATATGTTAAAACATCCTTTAATGTTGGTGATGAATTAATAATTTATTTCAAAATATGTTAACTTGGTTTTTTACATACAATACCTGGATCATTATAATTATGAACATGTAAAAATAAATAAATAAATAAATAAATAAATAAATACCCTCATATCTAAACTTGAGCTCTGTGGGACGCCCTGTGGCTGGTGCTCTCCCCTTAAGATCACAAATCTTGTTCCAAACTTTAACAAATCTCTTCTGCAACCTTTCCTCTTGCAAATAAGCCGAGTCCTCATCATCCAAAGCATCTAGATCTAGCTCTTTCTCCTGTAACTTTTTTATTGCTTTACTGATATCCTGTAAAGAAAAGGGAGAAAAATTATTTCATTTCATATAACTTGAAGAGACATACAATAAATTGAAAAATGTTTTCACACTGCTCACAGACTCGCCTCTCAGTCATAGTATATAAAAGACTTTCTACCAATATCTACAATCCCAAATCTACTTCACAAAATACTATCATGTTAATTCCACTTTTAAGGGTGGTGGTAGTATTACCAGCTTTATCAACAACAAATCACACTCAGGGAAATTGATGAGAAAATTCTACAAATTATAAAAAATGTCAGTTCCCCCCCATCCCCTTTTATCTCCTTTTTTTTCATCCTGAAGATATCAATATTTCTATGCAGGATCATAGATATTTTAACAGGTCTTCCACTTGTAAGAAATTAAACAAACCAGCTGTCATATAGCTGCCCTCTGATAGAAGAGGTTGTCTGGACAGCTAGCTGGCTAAACCTTTGCTTTCACATAATTTCCACATTTATTATGCGCAGGAACCAGTAGTTACCTCCAGTAATTTTTCCAGTTTGTGTATCTGTCTCCCAGAGCCAGTCTTTTTTTCCCTGCCTCTTTCACCAGCACCAGGTCCACTTGTCTTGTTAGCACCACTGGTTGCCGCACCATTATCTTTATGAGCAGAAGTATGATTAGAGTCTTCAGCACCACTAGTCCAGGAATCCAAACCGGCTCCATGCCCAGCACCAGGATTTTTATTTGTGAACAGATTATCGGACTGATTACTGCCCTCAGATACAGAAGTTTGTATTTCAAGAGCTGAATGATGTTTTAAATCATTTCCTCTAGAAACAATCTCTGAATGAGCTGACCCTGGTAAAGTCAATTTCTTCACATTTGCCTTCTCTTCCTCACTGTTTAAATCCTCAGCCTTTCTTTTTTTACTTGACAAAGGTCTTTCTTGCTTTCTTTTATATGCTTTAAGTTCATTGGCCAATTCAATGAGATGCACATAAATGCGTTTAGGTTCACTCTCAATTTTGGCCCTTGTTATGGCGACACGGTCACAAAATTCATCCATTTGAGTGTAGGAGGAACTGGCAGCACTGTGCCGTTTTTTCAAAAATTCTATTATTTTCTTGTCATTTTTCATATGTTCTTCACATACAGACAGCAGCTGAAAATGGGTAAAAAGTAATAAATGATACGTATGACATATAATCTGACCTGTTTTTCACTCAGCATGTGAAACAGTATAACAAATGTAATATACAATACTGTTCAGCTGTTCTTCTTATAAAGACATTTAACAAAGATGGAGAGTATTTCCTTATAAATAAAAAATATTAATGTCATTATCGTTAACATTAATATACCTCAAAATATCCACATTTTGTTTTTACTCAATGCCAATTCTTAGGCTTACCTCCTCAAATGCTTCATCTGCTTTACTTTTGATTTGGGCCTGGAAAAAGAAATACAACCATTATTTATTTGCACTTTGTCTCATATTTTCTATTTTCACTGAGCTTGCTAGATAACAAGACATTATAATTATTATTTAAATATTATTATTATTTAAATGAGTTAATTTAGCAGGCACTATTGTTCTGAGTAGATAAATTTTCTCTTTTTTTTTTACCCTGAACTGCCATAAAAACTGTCAACCCATTCTTAGACTGCTTGCCTAGTCTAAACTTATGCACCAGGAACAAGCATACCTTGAAGGGTGATTGGAAATATACTTCATCTTGGGTACTGTTTTGAAGATCAAGGAAAATTTTCAAGTGAAGATTTTTAAGGGCAGTCTTTCTAAATTATTTTTTTTAATTTAGCAAAGTTTGGCAAAACAAAATATATACCATGTAGAAGAACAAAGACTAAAGTTTTTTGATCAGCATGTCTACTTGTCCAAATATTTTTTCTTTTTTTCCTTTTTTTGTTATCCACCCCTTCTTTTCCCCCATTTAGCCAAATTAAAAGATCACTCTCTACTGCATACATGTTGAGAGATATATTGTATCAATTTGTATTTCCCCTACTACAAGCACATGTGGACCCAAATATCTATCACTCTGCCTACTTCACAAACATATAACTCAGCTTGGGAAAATGCTAATACCAAAATTTTTTTTGAGTGTTCATATGTAGCTCAACTTCTAATGTGGTAAAGTTCAAGTTTTTATGACATTATTTAGGGGGTGACTCATTATTAAAAATGGCATCTAAAAAAAAAAAAAAAGACAGACAGACATCGTGTCCCTAAAACATGAATAACTTTTGATCTAAATGAGACAAATCAAAAAATTTTAAGAGTTTATTCATACTCAAATACATGGCTATCTGTGTACATACCAAACTGCAAGTCTCTACTCTCTAGCTCAATTAGAAAAAAAAATTATGTGTGCACACTTCTTTCACTTTCAGCTCGCATGAAACTTCTCAGAAATAGTTGTGTTCTCAATAATTTTGTTAAAAGTTGAGTCACAGGGCCTCGAGGAGGTCAGAAAAACAGTCCCTGAAAGAATGTTAGAGTCACACTTTTCACGATACCAGTAAAGTTTATAAGCAAAACGCATTCATTGAAAAGTAAACACATTCAATTCCTTAAAGCTATTTATTAGAAGAATGTGCTCCTTATAAACTACTTATGTGCCCATCGTAATATATATATGATACGCACATTATTTTTACAAAAAATGCACAAAACACTATTTGTATCTAAAATAAAGTTATATTTACATTCTTCCAGCCTAAGACTCTACCCAAAATTATCATTGCAACAATAAGTCACTGTCGCCTGTCTCAAAGCACGAAAATGTGCTTTAGCTTGTGTATAATCAAATTGGGCAAAATGTGGCCCATTTATTGTTATTTTCATAATGTCCTCCAATTGCACCTCACCTCATCGATTTCTGATCTTTGTTTTATTCAAATTATGAACAGAAAAACCTCTTTCACACGATGCACTCTTCAAGGGAATTAAAATAGCTATCTGAACAAACACTACAAAATCAGGATAATCATCAGAATAGTTAAGGATCAAATCCTCACAGGATCTGGCAAAGACAAATCTATCTCCGTAAGAGACAAATTAAAAATTGGGGTGCTTGAAAGGTAAAAAAGTCTCTCCGACATGTCTGTATCCATGACTTGGGAGTACTCTGCAAGGAGGTGATCAAGTTCCTGTTGTCCATAAGGCCCAATGTCTTGAGGAACATCTGGGAACCTCTTAGGATTTAACTGCACATCAAAGGCATTCATTGTTGCCATACTTGCCAAAGGAAATCTTTTATCCAAATTCTCAAAGAATCTGTCTGAAAATAAAATTAACATTAAGTAACATAGATTGCACTTTTCCAATCCAAAAAGTATTTTTATAGTTATTTAAATGAACCCTAGTCAAATATAACCCTGAAATTAATAAAGAAAAAAAAGTACTATTATAATCTGATGATCCAACAATATCTAATTTACATGAAATGCTTACTTTTTTCTGTATTAAATGCATGTTCCTCGGGATCAGTCTTTCTAACGTCTTGCCCTTAATATTGCCCTGTGTTTTGAATTTCGCTCTCCATCTGGGACATTGTTAACAAAAGATCAGGGTCCTGTCTGTATGTCACCAGAGTTCCTTACTGTGCCCAGGCATCAAGAGGCAGTGTCAAAATCCAGGTTCTCCCACTGAAAGCATTTAGACAACCTGAAAAACAAAAGATACAGGAAGTTAAATAAAATTCAAATAATAACTGTCCTTTTTTTCTTAATATACAAGATGTCAAAAATTGAAGCCTCAGAAGGTGAATAAATATTTATGTTTTAGTGATTATAAATGAGAAAAAAGTTACCCAAACTTCTGATAAACTCGGGGTTTAAAGAACACTTAAATCAAAATTAAGCTAAAGCATATTTTTACCTTCAACACAATGGCAGGATATCTTTCATGAAACAGGATATAGCCAGGAAAACATTGTCATTGACTTTCCTCGGTAAGCCATAAGCCACTGGGTTCCGCACAGCATCTTCCTCTAAAACAACAATCACACTTGTCCAGCAATTTAGGATGCTTTCTACTGCCTGCTCCAAAGAGAGCTACCTTACTGCCAAGGGCTGCTTCATTGTTAGAAACTCATCATCTTCTAGCATATCAAACACTGCTGTCATTCTGTTGTAACGAACAACAGAGTTCTTGAAGTATAGAAACAAAGAGTTTATAGTTTCATGGTTAGTGTTAATAGCTGGGATACTGGGAGCAGCTTGGCCCACAGCCAGGGCTTACTTATGTGCCAAGCAAGTTGAATCTTCATTTTATCCAGAATTATAATTGCAAACTATAATTAGCCAAGTTTTTGGTTGATGTATAAAGTATGCTATTCTTAATTAATGATTTTTTAACAGGTTATTACTTCATTTACTCTTCAAGACATCTGAAACAAGACAATTATGTGCCACATAAAATGTTGAAAAATCTGTTCAAATAGCCTAAAATGCACCAGACTGCACCATGATTTAAAAAAATTTCCAGGGGAGCATACCCCCAGACCCCCCTAGTTTTTGCCGAGACCCAAAATTGGCCTACCACCTCACAGACATTGAAAACTAGGGGAAACACTACATTATATTGTAAAATCTAGAGCATCGTGAACCCGTCTAGTCACGCATGTAGCTAGCGCCACCCAAACTAAATGCCAAACTATTATTTGCTAATTCAGGAGAAAACGGGGCAGAGCTATGCAAATAACCTAACTAATAATGTGTCATTTCTCGTGAGTGGCAGTTAATATATTCATACTATCTGACCTAGAATAGTTGCTCCAGACATTCGTAAGCATGGTAAACTAAGTATTGCTTCAAAAACCACGGTTTATTTTGACTATATCTTCTGTCTAGAGTGAAAATGTAGATACGGGTTTTATTTTAAATCAGTTGCGTCCGTGGGGCGCAGCTGGGTTGCATATTTTGCGTCCCGCGTTTTAGTGCGTACTTAGAAACTCGGGCGTCGTAATAGAAACTAGGTTTTTTTCTTATGAATGGTAAAATGTATTAAGTCGTTCACGAAAGAACCAGATCACATTGAAAATCGTACAATAAAGTTTGAGAGTGCTTACTCTTCCCACCTGCGTTCTACTAGTGGAATCCTCATCTTCATCAGACACCAAAACAACATCCTCCTTTGGCCCCGCCATGTTGGTCTAACTCGCAGAAAGGAGATTTTGTATTTACGAACTCATCAAACTTATTTTTAGGCATATTGATTTCTTAGATAATATTTCATATCAAAATTAAAATGACACTACCAAAAATGTATTTAATTATTTTAATTATAAAAAGTCAATGCGGAAGAAGGAGAGGACATTTCCGGTTGTCCTTGCCCCTTTGCGCCTGCGTGACAGTTCCAAATCCATATTGAATGTACAGGAGAACTTGAACTGCTGTTGGAAGTGATAATAATTTATATTTGTTGGATTTATAACATACTGATGAAGTCATGAGTTGGGGAACAGAGTTGTGGGTAAGTAATATATATTTTCAATATTTTATAGGCCTCTGCATTTAAGAAAAATAGTAATTTGCGAAGATAAATTATTTCAAAATTGCGAAAGTCCGAATGTGACACAGCATTGCCACCCCTGTGGGTCATACCCACATTGAAATGGTGTGATTCAGTGACCAAAATTTTTATATTTATTTGTCTGTTTCACAAGTTAGTATCAAAAACGGAATTTTTTCTTTTATTGGTGGTTACGGTTTAATGATCTGTTCACTTCTATAAGTAAAAAAATTGAAAGCGAGAGGCAATGTGACTTATAATTCATAAACCAAACTGCCTTAGTGTTATGTATAGCGTGCATTGTACACGTTTGAAAGTTTGATAGATAAATCTATGAATATACTGATGCACACTGGATTATGAATGCTTTTATAATTATGTGCATATAAAATGTTTACATGAGACAAAAAATGAACTGGAATATTGATTTGTGAGCCTAATGTAATTGCTGATGTGTGTATCCATTTTTAAAAATTCTGTCTGTCTGAAGAAATTTATTTCTCCCAACTATAAAAAATGCAGTGTGATGATATTGGGCTTATAAGAACATGTGATTGGTGTTCTGTATCAGACAGATATACCTGAACAAAATTGTAACCTTTCGATGGGTTTCCCCATCGTTAAAAATGTAGGCCTGTAATTTTGGTCACCGATTTACAGTAAGTCCAAAAACAAAAATACTGTCACTCTCCCGCAATTTCATAATTGTGCTAGTTAGCTGCCCAGCTGTCTTTGAAAATATAAGCCAACTTTTGAGACCAGTGGCTGTCCAAATGACAGTGAGGTGGCTCTCTCAGGCCTACCCAACTACCAGACTCGGCACCAAATGATCCCAAATTCGTCAGTTTATGGGACCACAATATCCATTTTCAAGGTGTGCATCAGTACGCATTTCACAGCATCATACCCCAGGACAAATTTTGAGATGGGATGCACGTCTTTCTAACCCCGCTGAGAATCATCACTATCACATCGCATACTAGGCAAGAGCTGTGTCGTGTCTGATACTTCGAAGTGCGTACTGACGCACACCTTGAAAACGGGTAGTGTGATCTGATCTACCGGTGAACTCAGGATTATTTGGTGCTGAGTCTGGTAGTTAGATAGGCCTGTCTCTGGAGAAAGTCATGTTTGCAACGCATTGTCACAGCAAAACCATTTTAAGGACTACAGATATTATAAGGTTGGTTTAAATCTATGAATTTTAAAACCTGAAACATATCTGCCGTAATGACTGGATCTTTTCAATAGGGAAATTGTGAATTTTACAGATGCTATGTTTTTTAGGTCAATTTCTTAAAATTGAAATGTTGCTATTAAATGAAAGCAACAAAATTGAAAAGCAGGTTATCCTGAAGTTTTGTTCTATGTAGTAAAAGCACCACAAATGCTATATAAAAGGATAATTGTTATGAATCTGAATGATTGATAATCTGAAAGATTGGCAATTTTTGCCCATGAGAATGACCAAAGTCATCACTGTATCATGCAACTAATATATTTGATCTGACATGATATAATACTCAGATTTGAATACCATAATTTATTGTCAAGCTCTGAATTTCAACACATAGAAGCACTGAATCCAGACCCTGAACCAACATTAGACAATGACAACAACAGACAATGAGATAATTTTGTGAAACCTACAGAAATAATTTCTATGAGAGTGCCTCCACAGCCCCCTTGTATTTAGCTGTAAATTGCTAGTTTCTTGTCTTAGTTATCATATTATTATCTGACTACCTGAGTCCCTGGTAGAAGGGTGGAAAGATGGTGATTTCATGCCCTAATGCCTTAAAAGAATGTCTTCCTCCCTATAATTTGGCAGCTGGCATATTATCAAGTGGGCCATCAGAAAAATATAATTGTATTTGCTATGTAGCTGGCTGTTGAAAACGGGTCTTGGGTGCTTTCTTTTGTCGAAGATTGGAGGGAAAGCAGTGAATCAAATGATGTCCTCTGTCTAGTGCTTGTTTTCTGCAATTTTTACTCCAGTATTCTACTGTATGTTGTATTGACTTTTCACAGTGTGCACCTGAAATATGTATTGTGTTGACTAATAAGGATTGGCAATACTAGGAGAAAGTATCCTGCACAAAAAACATGGAGTTATTATAACAGCACAGTCTTTGATGACAAACTTAAAAAAACGGACATCATATCTTTGACGAATAAAAGGCAATAAGGAGTGGTACATACAGCTGTTTACCATTGAAGTCAACACTGAATACTTCAAAAGATATTGGTCTGGACTACACATAACAAAACTTTTTATACACAAGTTAAGAGGGTTTTTCTGTATACTGCATATATCTGAACCTCATAATTCTCTGTAGAAAAATTAGAATTTACAGTGCATCTGTCAGTTACACTGCGTCAGTTGACATGAGAAAAAGTCTGCTTGCCACATCTCGGCTGTCTGACTAGGACTTCTCCTGCTGTGTTCTTTAGCCTGGTCCTGTCTGGTATTATTCACTGGCTGGCCCTGTGAGTGGGATGGCCACATAGTAATAGGTCAATCACATGGTTTGAGATGGAAATCGGCACTTCCACTGTACTCTACATGATCCCTGGCAGGAGTGACGTCATATTTGTCGCCATGAAGCCATCCAGTCTTTCGCGACAGATGAAGGTGAGGAAGCGGATGGAGAGAAGTTCCTGTGTTGTTTTTATTATTGTCTAATGGGAGATAGTGTTTTGGGTCATAATATATTTCCCAACTGTACATAGGTGCTACATTTGTACAGGGGTCAGATACCTTTGTCATGGGTCACCCATTGTTGAGATTGTTAGTGGGATTTAATTGTTGTGAACTCGGTTAGTTTTCCAGATGTAACATGTAATTTGGAAAGTCAAAGGAACAATTTTCCAAGCTTTGCATGAAGTGAATAATTAAAGTATATTTTAGAGAGTGAATGCTTCTTCTGGTGTTTCAACAATAGATAGTTTAATATATGGATATCAGTCAAGAATACTGAATCAACCCTTTGTTATGTGGAAAACAAGTTCTGAATACCAGTTTTTGGGATTTGAAACTATTCATCAAGATGTGCATTTATAGCCATTATATTGTCTGATTAAATGTGATCCTCAGTATTGATACCTGTATAAGTAAATTGCTCTTCCTATTTCAAGCTGGCCAGCAGTTTCCACAATCACGTATATTTCTTACTTGTAGCGTTTATGTTACTTTCATTTAATATTTCACTCGGAAATCATGGGATCTGTTTTCTATAGAAAGACAGGAATGCAGACAAATATAATAGTCTCAATGCAAACAAGGGATCCAATCAATAAAACAAATAATATTCTGAAAGTATCTGGTAAAGGTGATGTGCTACAAGTTTGTTTAAAGAGGAAATATTAAAGGTGTGATCTTTGACTGAATATTATACAATTTCAAGTCATTGTGTGCAGTTGATGCAGTGAAACTTAAACCTTCAGTGAAATTAGACTAGGATAAGTTAATTTTTTTATGTTGAAAGAATATTGAGTCAGTTGGTCTTGGATAGCACTCTTACAAAATGAAACACACTGATATTGGCTGTTGTGCATTTATATATATGGTCCATACAGATCTGATATTGATACGCAGGTATCATTATTAGATAGGTCAGGTTAGAAAATAGCTATGAATTGGTACAGTTGTTTTTTACATTCATACTAGTATGCATTTTATAATTTACATCACAAAGAAATTGCTCGCCTTGATTACAAGTAATTAAAAAAAAATTGTGTCCAGCACAGTTTCAAATTGTCCTTGTACACAGCTTTGTTTATGTATTAAAAACTCCCATTTTTTTTGGAACTTATCCTTTTAGTATTGATCTGCATATACATGACCTTACGGGGTCATGCTCTCATTAATCGGTTGCGTCAATCCATTTGCTGTAAAGCCTGCGCAATCAGTTATTTAGCAGGTGTCAATTGAATTTATTGACTGACTGTTATGTCAGGAAGAAGTAAGATGAAGTAATATTGCTAATTTTAACAGTTTCAGTAGGTAACTGGTCATAGGCCATTAGGGTGATCATTTTACAGACAGTTTGGTATTTAATAAGTGCTGCAGAAAACCACTAATCAGGATACTATTTTGTCCATTTGTTTGTTGGTTTCAGATGACAGTCACTGAAAGAGTGATGCAATTTTGGCTGTTGTGTCATTGAGTTTTGATTAGTTTTTCCTGGTAAGGCCATGTTACTGTATCCTAAAGTAAAGCTGAAAACTAAAGCCCTATGAAGGTCCTAATATCATAATCTGTCTTTTTTCAACCCGAATATGGTAAATTCTGGCGCAGTTGAGGAAAACCTGACATTACCCTGAAATCTTCTAGAAAGCCAATGTCTGTTTAATTTTATATAAACAAATCCTGATAGACTGTAAGTACTCCAAAACCCCTTTTATCCATAGAAATATGGCAAATCTATTCTTCTGTATTATCCGAAAAAGCAAGTTATCAAATTATGCCATTCCTTGATAAGTCCTTAGCCATTCATAGAAGGGGCAAGTGGGATGTACAAAGTGGCAGGTGGGGTTACCCCCTCCCACTTCCTCTGTTAAAACCTTGGATCCCCTTGTGAGGCGCTTCTTTTAATTAACAAATGCATTGAGAAGTACTAGTACTGAACACCACGAAAGTAAAGTTCCATGTTTGTTGCAGAGTACATGCCCCATACATGCCCAGGTTGTTCACATGATAAGATAATGATGCTGTCACTTCCTGACACTAAACTGTANCATCAAGATGTGCATTTATAGCCATTATATTGTCTGATTAAATGTGATCCTCAGTATTGATACCTGTATAAGTAAATTGCTCTTCCTATTTCAAGCTGGCCAGCAGTTTCCACAATCACGTATATTTCTTACTTGTAGCGTTTATGTTACTTTCATTTAATATTTCACTCGGAAATCATGGGATCTGTTTTCTATAGAAAGACAGGAATGCAGACAAATATAATAGTCTCAATGCAAACAAGGGAT